TTTGACGTACATCTAATTCGATAATCTGTTAGTAATATTATATTAATAGATAATTTACAGTGTCTTCTAACAAATATTTAAGTATGATAGTAAAATAATAAAAACTCATTTTAGAAAAAGTGATTACATAAACTATTTCTTAATCTGAATTTGAAATAAAAAGGACAACATTAAAATACGTCATAAATGATCACGAACACTATTTTACTAAGAACTCTAAGAGTCGCTAGAACTTGAAGATCGGAATCTATTGAACTACATTCTAAGGAAATGAAGTTATTGTGAATAGTTTGAGTCTATTGAAATGATCAAGTATGTAAACTAACGTCATCTAATGTATTTTTAGAAGCCCTTGTTGATACACTGACATAGAGTAAAATTCACGTTTTCAACCTTTATCAATTTATTGAATGTTTAATTAGATAGAGGTCGGAGAATGGATCAGCATGTACTTTACTACTACTTAAATAAAAAAGCTAGCATAGTTCCTTTCAGGAAAAGATACACATTCAGAATTTCATTTCCTATAAATTATTTAGTTACTTGTTTAATTAGAAAAACTATTCTTTATCGATATCTAGTTCATTTTCTTGTGATTCTTCAACAATGCTGTTTTTCTTTTCGTCATGCAATCGATGCTCATGCTTTTATTGTTATTACTTTCATTTTTATTGATTTGAGATATTGTTGAAATCGTCTGTTTTATGTAAAACAAGAAAGGCTAAGAAGTTTGATGTTATTTTCATCTCTAACTGTAAGAGTTCTTCTTTCTTATGTCACAAATAAAATTGAAATAAATAAAAAAATAATAATAATCAACATACAGAAAATATGTAGACACCTGGAGTAACATAAACCGAATATTCTGTATTTGGTTCAACTTCAAATCGTTGAACTGTCTTTTTTTCTGAATCAGTATATCGAATTGTTTGTTTTCGTATAGATGAACATTGAACACGACCCGTAACACGAACTCTATATATTTATATATTTAATTAATTATTTTTTCTATTATATAAATTTTACTTTTCTGGTGAAAGAACAAGCGATGTTGAACTATCAACAGTACCAATAAGACGATTAAGATTAATTGTATATGTTAATTCTTTGAATGTATAACCATCTAATTCACCTTTGACTTTAATCGAACCCGTTGGACGAATATGTGTTAATTTAAATAAACCATTTGAATCTGTTTGACAACAAGGTTTTCCATCAATACTTATTTGAACATTTGTTAATGGAATTAATTTATCCTTAAAGAAAATCAAAAAGAAAATTTAAATAAAATAATTTAAGTTAAATAACAAACTGTTTTCGTTGATTTAACAATACGACCATGAAATGATATTGTTCCTGTTTCAAATGAAGTTTGAACAAGAAAATCTTTATGTGTTATTGTTATAACTTTTTGATCTGGTATAAAAACAATTTCAAGTGAAGGTTTTACATATAATGGTAACTTAAAAACAAAAAGAAAAAGAAATGAAAATCATTAAAAATTGTTGAAGTATAGAAAAAAAAAATAAACAAACCAAAATGTAGAGACCAATAGGTATATCATCGAATATATATTCTCCTTTAGCATTAGTACGTGTTCGACAAACAAAATTTTGTGTATTGACTGTTGGTGGTAAATATGACATTTCATTTTTATTTAATGGTCCATCATTAGAACAAGTTGGTGATGGAAGATTATTTTCATTAGATGAAACACGAAATAATAATACATCAATAGAAATTAATGGTGATGATTGATGTACAACAGTTCCCTTTAATAAATAATAAAAGAGAAAAACAAAACAATTTTTATCTCTATGATTTTAATAAATGAAAAATAATTACTTTAAGTGTATAGCCAAGTACAACAATTGGTTTTTCAATTTCCCAACGTTCTTTAGATAATTGTACATGGGATGTGTCCTATAAGAAATAATTAAATTTTTTCGATTTCTTTTTTGTTCGTTTTCAATTTACCGTTAAGAATTTCCAATGATCATGACTTCCAATGACTGTATATTGTCCAGGTAAAACATCGAAAAATTCAAATCTATAGAAATAAAAATTTTAGTCAATTAGTCAATAATATTTTAACTTATGACTAAAGATGTATGAGATTCAGAAGCGAAAATAAACTTATATATCACATTATCAAAAATAAAATTTAGAAAGGACGTTCAAAATAATAATAATGACATTCGTTATTGAATAAACAAAACTACGAACGTGTCAATACCTTTTAGTATTCTTCTAAAAAAAAAGAACACTTCAAATAGTTTTCTCAACATTGAAATCGAGACTACCACTAAGACACATAATCTTGCACATACTTCTAAGAAATTAGAAATGCACTAGTCCTTGTCAGACGGATTAAAATCTAATCAAACTGACAAGAGAACATTTTTAGCTGATGAATTGTTTTGGTATGTTCATAAGTCCCATCAGACCTTCTATTCAGAATCATTGGTATTTTGAATTTTAGTCTCTGACTAGGTCTATACCAATTAATTGAATGACAATATTTCGACCTGAGACTTTCCTCTCATAGAAATATATTTATCAGTAGAATGCTCTGAAAAGTTCAGCTTAAAAGAATATTTTCTTCTGAGATATTAATATCCCAAAAAAACTTAAAAATTCTAGCATTATTCATCGAATATTAGTGATTTTTGAGACTTTAATATTCCGAGAAGGAAATATTCTTTCGAACTGAAGTTTTCTGCGTTGCAATTGCGAAATTATTTTGCTCAATCAAACATCTTAAATCAAGAAAGATAGAATATTAATGATTTTATGCTGAACTAAATTTGGATTAAACAATCTTAGGTATCATCTATTCAATATATAGGATGAATATTTTCATTCAACTATATTTCGTGTAAATCAATAAAATCCTTCACATATTGGTCGAACTTACGTTCCATCAGCTTTCGATTTAGTTTCATTTAATTTTTTATCATCTTGGTATAATGTTAATGTAACACCGGCTGGTCCACCACCAATACCACTTGTACTACCTGCACTTATTACCTAAGAAAATAACGTAATTATTTTTTTTTTCTTAAATAATAATTCAACATACACGTCCAGCTAATCCAAATCCTTTAAAAACAAAATTAAGATCATGATTCAATGTACATGAATCTGTTTCTCCATCGATATTTAATTCAAATTGTGATGGTTCAAAACTCCAACCTGATGGAGGAAGAAGTTTAAGAATATATTCACCATGTTCATACACTGGAATCATATAACTAATTAACAAATAACAGATCAATATTTGAATTATATTACTATTAAACTTACTATCCATTAATTGGAGCAGCTTCTGTTGTATAAATTGGAATGCCATCTTTTGTAATTAATTGTATCTATTGATAAGAAAACAAAAACAAACGAAGAAAAATAATGTTTTTTAAAGCAAGAAAAAAAAAATATTTACTCGAACAACTTTATAATTAATATCTGTTTCAGATTTAATAAAACCACCACAACCGATTACATCAGAATTTTGTTGAGTTTTTCCATAAGAAAAACATATTAGAAATAAAATAAAAAACTGTAACATCACTTTTGTTGAATAAAACAAAAATACGAAATGAAGTTAAAATGAAAACTCAATGATTGGTATATTAGTTACCATAAATGTTGCTAAAATAGCCTCGATTATATTAACTACTATTGCCCTCTATCATATTATATGTGAAAAACAATCTTTTCTCCAGTGACTGAAAATAAAAAAAAATATTCTGTTCTATTTTATCTGTTCTCTCCATGATAAATATTTTTTTTTGTAGAAAAAAAAAAGGAAACGATAAGAACATTTGATATTTTATTTTTTATCCATTTATTTTATGTGTTACTTTTGATAGATATAATTTGTAAGACATTCAATATTATATAGCGTTGAGTACGATAGAAAAGTCTTTGCTCAACTAACTTTATCTAATCAATGTTCAATTTTATACATATATATGTATGTATATATATATATTAGTAAATTAATGTAGAGTTTTTCTGTGAAATTCTCTAATCAGGTGATAGTTTTTGGGACGTTTTCTCTCAATTGATATTACACAATTAGTAATCTTTGCTATGCATGACTACATTCACGTTGTATTTAATCATTATCGTTAATTTTTTTGGTAATATGCATATATATATCTATATATAGGTACCTTGCCTCTTATTTTCATTTTGTTTTTAAGGTTATTTAACGAAATGCTTAAGTTAAGGTTGTCATTATTTTGCCAGCAATCGATTACGACAAGATGCGATATTTTAACATAGATTAAAGCATAATTCTGTGATTGGTGTACATGTTTATATGCATTTAAAGGATTCTTTTTTTTACTTTCTAATGCCATTCTTTTTTTCCTTTAATTCTTTACAATGTTTTGCAGATTAGATGAAATATATTCACATACAAGTAATTGAGAAAGAAAAAATAAAAAATAGAATTGCTAAATTTCTTTTTTCAGTCGAGAAAATCTCGAGAAAATTGATAGAATAAGACAAAAAAAAATATTTTTTTTTTTTGATCAGCGTTTTTCTCTTTGACTTTTTTTTAGATTATTTATCTTATTTATTTAACTAGTAGATGAAACCATTGCTCTTCGTGTACTTCAGTCTAACCATTTATTTTCATTATGTTCTGTAACAGAACAATTAATAATTGGACGTTTAACCAGTTTAATATAAGTTTTTGTTTATCTATACCAAAGAATAAATTATATTTAATGACTAATATTATTTAATATTCTCTCTTGTTTTGTATTAGTAATTCTTTAACGCATTCATTTTTTCTTTCCTGTTTTTTTGTAAGTTAGGTTAATTCAATTTTTTTGATTTCCATTGATTGAATTGATTGATTGCTTGAAGTGTCTCGCGTTTGTGTGATAATAATAATTTATTCCTGTAAACTTTTTATCTTGTAAAGTATTTGTGTGTTTTATTTTTCTTAAAAAATGAATTTTTTTCACATAATTATTCTAAGTTCAATGATAATGAACATTGAAACAATTTCAATTTTCAATACGCTAAATGATAATCAAAAGGTAAAATTATTTTCCATTGATATTTCTTTTTTTTTGCAAATCTTTCATTAAACATATTTTCATTTTATTTAAGACTTCTCGACGACAAGTTTTAATGATGAATGGAAGTAAAAAAGAGAAATTTCATGCAGCCGATAAACATCAATTACCATCTGAACGGTCAAGAACTTATTTGCTTACAATGCTTCCAGTTACTAAAGGTGATTATGTTTTTAATGGGGACGGAGAACAAGAGTGGGAAATACAAGGAAATACCAATGCTGAATTTATTATTTATGGTATGTAGGAAATAGAGAACAAAATAACATATATATTATAAATAATGATTTATTATGGAAAAATAGAATTTATGGAATTTTACAAAAACATAATATGAGCGTACTACCTACTTCAAATTGCAAGGCGTGTTACTATGTTTTCAATAACTTTTGATTAAAAAAAAATTCTCAAGGGCATATTTGTATAAGCCAAGGTCAACTCTTGATAGGTACTAGTAATCACTGAAAATTAGTCAAAACATATATACCTACGTCAATAGCAAGTTTCTATTTGAGTTTATTCTATATTGTTTGCAATTATTAATTAAGAAAAAAGTCTTATAGTCATAATTAGTTTAAGAAAAATTATTCAATATATCTTTATTCGATTATTCTCCCACATGATCAACTAATCAATTCTTGGAAAAACAACAAATTATCCATCTACTTTTCCCATTCATTTGTACATATATTTAATTTATTTTAAGGTGAAAATCTTGATGGTGCCCAACTCTCATTTACAACTCATTCTGATTCATGTCAATGGGAACGTAAAAATAAAATATATACTTTAAAAGTAGATGTACTCGATCCACATGAACGTATGAGTGAACGTGCTTATATTATTCTCAATTTACCTTATTATAATTCAACTTTATATATGTGTCTAACACCAAGTAATTCTGATGATGTATTTCATCAAGGAAATCGGTATTATGATTTTGTTTTCGAAATATAACTTTTATTTGATTCTTTTTTTTTTTCTTGTAGGGCTGGTTTAAAAATTCGAGTAACTCGTCGTGCTATACCTGTTTGGACAACAATTCTTTGTTTAGTATTTCTTTTAACATTATCAGGTCTTTTTTCTGGATTAAATCTTGGTTTAATGTCATTAACACCACATGATTTAAAGGTTATACAAGAAGCTGGCTCACCAAATGATCGTAAATATGCTAAACGTATATATCCAGTACGTAAACGTGGTAATTTTCTTTTATGTACTATTTTATTGGGTAATGTTTTGGCTAATTCAACAACAACAATTTTACTTGATACATTAATTAGTGGTGGATTAGCTGTTGCTGGTGCAACATTAGCAATTGTTATCTTTGGTGAAATTATTCCTCAAGCTATATGTTCTCGACATGGGCTTAAAGTTGGTTCACAAACAATTTTATTAACACAATTCTTTATGATTTTAACATTTCCAATTTCATTTCCATTGAGTAAATTACTTGATATTATTCTAGGTAATATGCTTCAAAAATACTCAGAGAAGATATGATGATATGGTTTGAAAATTCTCCTAGTCTACAGACGTTCGTCTTTGATCCAATTTTTCGAATAAGAAATTTTCTGTTTCGTTTTATGTTGATACTAGAAATGTATGGAACAAATTCAATTGCCGGTCTTGATGATTGGGACTATGAGAAAAAAATTGTTCCAATCGGAACTAAAGATTATACTCAAATATTCTATGTTTTCTTTTTTGCGAATTGCCTTATAAATCATGAAGCAAAACATAATTCAAGAGAGATCAGCAAACAAAGTATTAGTCATTATTGACTAAATAAATCAAAAAATAATTGTTGAAGAATTCTTTTAGATATAATACAAATAAATTCTGTAGTAGTTTTCTGTAGATCGAGACGGGCATCACTAGAAAAGAAGCTATTGGGACGAAGAAAACTCGGTCCCATACATCTCTAGTTGATACAGAAAAATCGTTTATTATGATTTCAAATTGTAACATAGAAGGAAAAGTATATAATGAAAACTTGAACCATTATAGAAAATAAGATTGCATTCAGAGAAAGTCATTCATTCAATGTTGTAATTATTACTAATCAATCTCAATACATCACTCGGGCGGAATTGAATCGAGTAATAATATGATGACACAATTCAACTTGTTAAGAGTGCTGATAGCATTTTGTCATAAGATCATCAATATGATTTTCATTCATTTGTATTCGTTAGAAAAAACTTTCTTTTATTGTATCATATTATCATTTTTATCTATTTCATAATTGTAGGAGAAGAAGTTGGTGCACGTTATACACGTGATCAAATGAGTGCTTTATTAAAACATACAAAAACAACCGATATTGAAGATCGTGAAAAGATCATTATGACTGGTGTACTTAGCTTAAAAGCAAAAAAAATTCGTGATGTAATGACAAATTTAGAAGATATTTTTATGCTTGAAGCAAATCGTATTGTTGATGATGATCTTGTTTTAAATGTTTATGCTCTTGGTTATTCAAGAATACCTGTCTATGAGCGAGAAAAGTCTGATTATTATATATATATAGAAAAAGAAAACATACGAATTTTTATAATTTCTAGAGATAACATAGTTGGTCTTGTATATGCACGTGATTTTGCTCTACCTGATACTGATTCAGGAAAATTTATTGTAAGACATATCATGAATTTTTGTAAACATCGTTACGGTACATCAATTACACCAGATGATTCAAGTTATGATGTTTTTAATTTATTTAAAAAAGGTTCATTTTAAAGAAAAATATTTTAATCATGTCTTTGTTTATTTATTTATTTTTGCAGAACAATATCATTTAGGTGTTGTTGTTGAATATGATAATACAAGCGAAAAAGATCCAAGAGCTAGAGCTGTTGGTATTGTTACATTAGAAGATATTATTGAAGAAATGATTCAAGAAGAAATTATTGATGAAACAGATGAATTTAGTAAGTAAAACAAAAAAAAACGAAACAACACTGTTATATACCTAGAAAATCGAAGATAAAGATGATCACATTGAATAGCTTACTGACTAGTGTGTCCTGCCAGTGGGTGAAGTACATAAGCCAGTTCAAATTTTGAGTTCGGGCGCCGGATATGAAAAAAAATGTCAGTTCAGATCTTGAATATGATTTCATATCCGAAGCCTGACCTGGCAATTAATGAGATCTCAATATTGCACAATATTTTTACTTTTTCCAACTGCTAATATATGTATATATAAGCGTAGGAGTGAAAACATGAGCAATTTATTGTACTTGAGAACAGATCACAGAAGTGAAAACAAAATATTGTTTTATTGAAAGAATTCATTTTTAATGAAAAATTCATCTACACATTATCATGGAATCGTATAACGAAGTAATTGAATACATTGAGAGGAAAATCAATTACCAAAAAGGTGAACATGTATTATCGTAATGGAAAAAAGCATTCATTTATGCATCTATAATGATAAAGTTTGGCATTAATACTACATTCCATTTCAGCATCATCATCAATAAAAAAAAATGTATAGTTAACGAAATTGATCGGATTTAAGAAGCAGAAAAACATCATGTAAACCCTGTATCCCTTGTTGTTTTGTGGAATTTAAGATGATTCCTTTTTTTTTATTGGTATTTATGGAAGAAACTAAATAGTATACTTTATCATATAAAATAAAAGTTTGAAAACCATACTGTGTCTGTGAAAGTAGTTGTCAAATATCCATTAGCTCCTGTTTGGGTTCGGTTGCGAAAAGTCGTATTCATGTAGGAACGCTGCACTGATGAACATATAAAGTGAAACGTTTTTTGAATAAAATTTTCTCTAAATGTTAAAGATTTATCCTAAGACTGTAAATCTAAGAATATTTGTATTGATGGACTTCACGAGAAAGAGATATTACCTTTGCATTAAAGTTTTATGATGTTTTAATCCCTATAAAGTCTTTATATAAATAAAATATCATTGAAAAACTTGATTAACTAGTTAAAATTCTTCTTCCTACACTGAGATTTGGTTTAGGCGGAAGAATAAGGTATGAATTGAATAATTGTCATCAAGCGATCACTGTTGTTTCTTCATAGTGCTTCGTCTTCTGCAAAATATTCGTTGTACATGTCTGATTCTAACTCCCGTCTCCTTTTTTGTATCACATCTAGATTACTTTTTGATTTTTCGAATATGTTAAGACAATTTTCTAAAACATATATACTTACTATTTAGCTGATAATCGTACAAAAAAGCGCAATGTTCTTTCTCAAGCACCTGATTTTTCCGTTTTTATTCGTCAAAGTGCAAATGAAGTAGTAAGTAAAATTTCGACGCAAATGAAAGTCGCTGTTTTTCAATTCCTGTCAACAAGTAAAATTCTTTTCTTGCAATGAAATTTTAAAATAATATTTATTTATTTATTTATTTATGTAGGTGTTGAACCTCTCAAAGAAAAATTTGTTTCAACAAATATTTTAGGTCGCTTATTAAATGTTGATCTGTATAAAGAATACGAATATGATGAAGATGATGCTAAAGCTGGAAAAATTACATATATATATGAATATGGTAAACCAGTGGATTATTTTGTTCTTATTGTTAATGGCAATGCAGAATTAGAAACAGGAAAAGAGAAAATTGTTAGCGAAATCGGTCCATTCAATTTTTTTGGTGTTAGTGCACTTTATGTAAGATATTTACATTTATTATTTTATAAGAAAAAGAAAAATTATAACAAAAAATATTTTCTTTTTTAGAATCCTGATGAAAAACTTGATGATCTGATACGTTCAAAATCTAATAGATTTCGTCCATTTATACCTGATTTCAGTTTACGTGTTAGTGAAGATGTACAAATTTTACGTATACGTCGTGTTCATTGGTTAGCTGCTGTACGTGCAACTTATTTTGAAAAAAGACAAACAGCTAATGGTGATGCACCAATGCTTGATGCCGATGGTGAACAAATCGATTTATTAATACAAGAATTAGAAAAAGTTGATCATGTCGATCCATCGAATATTAATAGTTGTGTTACTGGAGAAACAGCACATGAACGAACGTCGTCATCAGCATTAACAATAGCATCAGATGGTGGTATTGAACATGAAAAATTATTAACAGAACGTCAAACATCGAGTAGTTTACATAATTCAAGTAAAATATTACCCGATAGTCCAATGAATTCTGGTAGAAATACACCAACATTAATAGACAAACAACGGCAAAAAATATTTCGTTCAGCTACGAGTGCAACACCACCACCACCATCATTATCTAATGAAAGTCCATCATCAATAAATCGTTCATTGACTTAGTATTTAATATTTAGGTATTTGTGTGTGCGTGTATATATATATATATATAGAAAAATATATGGAATGCAATTCTACCTCTTTTTTTGTAGAACAGTCTTTTGTTTTTCAAAGTTGCTTTTTCTGATTGTTGATTTAATCTATTTACAAAAAAAAAGTATTTTTTTGAGTTTTCAGCTGCTAAATAAATTTAATTATATTAAATATTAGTATTTATATGTCTAATAATTTTATCTTTTTTTAAATATATATGTAGAAATGGAAATAAAATCTTTTAATAAGTGACACAAAAGAAAATGAATACTAGATTTTCTCTAAAAAATTTAACTATTTCCATTAATTTTTAATTGATTTCATATGTATACAAGATCTTTGATAATATATTTGGATTATTGACCCTTTTTTTTTCATCTAACAAAATATATCACTAATAACGATGGTGGTGGAAAACAGTTTAATAACAACCTATTTTTGACTCGTTTTTCTATAATGTTAAGTATCTAGATCAATTCAGATTGTGATATTCATAGCCAATGGAATTCTCTCTTTAATGGATTCCGTGCTAGATGAACTATAACGACAAGGTTTCTAAAAAAGTTAAAAATATCATAAGAAACAAAAAGAGTGCTTGTTGGTCAATTTTTTGATAAATTTCGTTTTTTGTGATACTTTTAACGTTTCAAGAGAAAGTTGTAGAAAATGGAGTGACTCCTATTTTCTAATCTTTAAAATAATATTGTTAAAAAGAAGCTCTTCTGAAACTTAAAAACTACCGTATTTAGTTTTTTAGAAACCTTACGATATGAAATCTTATTATAGGATGCATTAGATAGAAAAATTCGCTGACTGTGAAAATCACACATTTGAATTTCAGCTGGATGCTTAATACTATAGAAAAAGAGTCAAAAAAACATTATTATTAAACTTTTGTTCACCAGCTTATATATCAATTCTAGTACGATCAAGTAAAAAAGCAGTTATAGTTTACAATTCTATCCATTTACTTTGCTGTACTAGTGAAATTAGATTATGACATTGATTCTAATAAAAATTAGAGAAATGTTAACATTCAAGCATCTATAATTATGTAATTTGTGTTAAAGGTGTAACAGTGAAGCTAGTGAGTACATAAAAGATCTACAGGGATGATCAAAATATTAGTAACAGTTGCTTCTGTTAATATAACGTCTATAAATAGTGAAAAAAACCGATTGTCACTGTACGTTCGTTTCAAACTCATTGACTTTATCGATTATACCGGTCACGTTAAAAGTGCATTCTCATGTTGAATAATCTTTTCTAACAACGAAGATCTGAGTAACAACATATATCTTTCGCATAAAATCAATTACATTATTAGAATTTTTTCTAAGCTTTTATTATCAAAATCGAGTCGCTATTTTTCTTATTCGGAAAACAACAAATATAATATTAATGATCATTGGAAAAATTTCATTAACGAACGTTCTTCCTAATAAGCTATTGGCTAAAATAACAACACTGTTATAATCATAAGACTAAATGCGTATATAACACCATTGCTACTATTGTAGCTATTAATAGTATCTTGCAAAGAATAGAAAAAAAAGAATAGAAGCAGAAGAACGAGAAAAAAAGATGAGTATTTTATACGTCATTATACAGCAATAGAAGGAAATATATAATACAGTCTATATTAGTAGAAAGCATATCATTATATTCGCAATGGAGTCAACAGTTATTAATACACGTTTATTTCAATATGCTAAAAGAGAAACAACACCTTTCCGTTTATTTATTCAAAAATTTAAACATGACTGGTCATTCGTTTTTGCTGGTATGTTGGCATTTAATATATTACTTGCATTATTACCAATGGCTATAACATTATTTGGTATACTTGGTATTGTTCTTAATAATCATCCTGATTTACAAAATCGCATAAAAAGCAAAATTGTTGAGGCATTTCCCCCAAAAGCTAGTGATGGCATACGAGAAATAATGAATATGGCATTTAGAAAATTATATCATGATGCTGGACTTATATTATCATTTGGTATATTATTTGCTATTATTGGTAGTTCAAGATTATTTATTGCTATTGATCGATGTTTAACAATAATCTATCGTCTTGAAGAACGAAAATTTATTAAAAAATATTTACTAGCTATTGGTATGCTTTTTCTTTTTCTTTTACTTATACCATTAATGATAGCTGCATCATCAATTCCATCATTACTTCTTGGTGTAATTCGAGATGCTGGTGGACGTTTTGGAGTATATATTGCTGGTATTATATTCAGTGTATTTTTTTCATTTATTTTATTTGAAATTATTTATTTATTGATACCAAATAAAAAAATGAAAATAAAACATACATGGTGTGGATCGATTGTTGCTGCTGGTGCTTTACAATTATTTATGGTATTTTTTCCACTTTTTGTGAGAAAATCTATGGGAAGTTATACAGGTCAAATTGGTATTGCAGTTATTCTACTTTTATTTCTTTTTTATGCGGCTATTATACTGATATTAGGTGCACAAATTAACGCTTTCTTTTTTGAACATATTCAACCATTACCGGTTTCACTTGCAACGTTCGTTAGTAAACTTGCTCATGTATACCATGAAGATGAAGCGAGAAGACCATTAAATCATTAACAATAATAATATGATATTTGATGATGAATTTTAGTGACGTACATAGAAAAGACTTTTACTTTGTATATTCAACATAAAAAAAAATTATTAATTTTTTATACGATAAGTACGTAGGCCATACACTCAAAGTATTGGCTATTACACATAAAACTTTATAGAATAAAGTTAATCAAGCTCAGTTCAGGTTCGTTCAAATGGGCTGAAATTTGGAGCATATGTTGGGGCTGAAGTGAGGAAGCTGTGGTAAAATTTTCAGCTCGATACCCTGACATTTGACAGAGATATGAACCAAACAAGGGTCAAAAATTGCTCATTTTGTCTACAAGATTTCTCTGTGGCCCTTTATTCAATATATATATATATATTTTTGTTTGAAAGAGCATCTCAGGATGCAGGGTCTATGAGCGTCCTTTTTTTTTAAATTCTTATCTATCAAGCGGAGAAAAGGGTTGACAAGTTCATTCACTCGTAAAACTTAAAAAATGGCGCTCTAATTATAAAAGCGCTTTTCAATATAATAATAACAATGCGTCATTCAAAAAACGGATCCTGATAGCACCTGCAGTTTTTGACGCTCTTTCAAACAAAAAAAATATCTGACTTTATACAGTACTGTGGTTGAGTTTTCTTGCAAATACGTTGTCAAATCTACATTCTGAGAAAAACACGAAACAAGGTTTTGAAATGCCAGATATCCGGAAAAATGTTGTATTTTGTGAATATCTCTGCACAGACAAATGGTAAAGCCTTTCTTTTTTTTCCAGAATACCCACCGTGAAAAGCTTTACAAAACCTGTAGAAATAAATCCCTCTTGACTTGTTCTGAGAGTCTTTTCCATACTCAACATTTATCTAAAATTTCGTTTTTTTTGACGAAATTTGACATTTTTGAGAGAGTGGCCTTAACGAAAATCATCGAAAATTTTGGCCAAATACGAGATGCCGAAGAAAAAACAATGTCGTTTCTGAAAGAGCAGAAGACGGGCTATCTCCCCATGCATTTATCTCAATTTCGAATTTTAGAAAAAAATTGACATTTTTTGAGGGTGGTGGTGGTGGTGGTGGGTGGCCTTAAGCTAATAGTCGTGATCAACAATACACAATTACTTTGTTTCAAAACATTTGTTGGAAGTATTTTTCAAATCATCTTTGACTTGAAAACAAAGTCATGATCTTGGCAAAGATACTCAATATAACGGTTGAATATTGTTTTGATCAATCGAAGTCTGTTAAACTTGACTGACTAAAGAAAAAGTAGTAAGTCTATTGAATGGCAATAGGCATCAACTGCTAGATTAGTTATATATACATGAGAATAGATTCTTCAAATCAGAAGGATGCCGAATAACGAATCTTCATCATTTACATTTTAATTGAGTAAGTTAGTCTCATGATGATGTTTTGTATTTTTTTTATAGTGACTCATTCAATGTTCTTGAAAAAGAGGACAAACTTCCAGCCACCAATTTTATGCCAAAAGTACTCTAAAGCCACTTAGCAATTCAACGAGACGGCAAAGAATATTAGCTAATGCACAGAACATCAAAAGTCATTATTACAGCATTCAAACATCCATTTTCATAAGAATATTTCTTTTTACTATCTCGCATCGAAATATGTCATCATTATAGTTTTTACTCATCTCACATTCTGGGTACAATGCTTATGAACTTTTGATGTGCTTATCTAATTGATCAATTTCATTAATAAAATGAGCCTAAATCATTGCTTTAATATATTTCTGTAACCAAGAGGATGATTTTTTTTAAACTAAAGATAATTCGAAAAATACTTTCTGCAAATGTTCTTAAAACAGTTGATGATGTATCGATAAACATAGCTTCTATATTTTTTTGTTTGCTGAAGCAAAATTTTAATTACATCGATTCCTTATTGTATTATCTGCAAAAAACAGTCGTATTTGTATGATATTTCTATTTGTTTTTCGAAAAATATCTAAGATTTTTTACGATGCTTCGCATAAATAAACAAAATAATTATTCATGTCATTCGTCTATTGGTATAATTTCAAATTTTGACGACTTCTAATATACATGACAACAAAATTGGATCCAACTACAGACTGCGATGGATATTTTTTTGGGGGGGGTTTAAATCTGATAAGAACGAAAGTAGATATGAAAATATGTTTCAGTTTTTTCCTCGATATATGTAAATTTTTGTTTCAACAAGGAACTTCTGTTTGATGAAAACAATCAAAATCATATCAATATGTGCACATAACAAAAAATTTACTTTTCAAATATTAAGATAAAAATAATATTACTCGAGTTTATAATGTCCAATCAATTTACTTATCAACATTATCTATTTGACACATAAAAAAAACAGGTGTTTCTATT